AAAAGGCCGATTTTTGAATTTTTGCCTTTATCAAAAAATAATAATATTTTAATGCTGAAAAATGAATAAAAAAGTACTTTTTATGCCAAGCTGTCCCCCGCCAAAAAAAAAAAAAAGGAAATTCAAAATTCGGCCTTTTACATGGCTATAGGCTATAGTTGATCTAACACTAGCATTTTTGGGGGAATATTCTGTAAAGAGCTCTGATAGTTGGGATGTACCGAAGACATACCAAAAAAAAAAACAGCGATTTTTTTCGACTTTTAGGGGGGTGCCCCCCCCCCCAATGGAGGAGCAAAGTTAAAATTTATATATATAACGGAGCGCAATTCTTTACTCTATAGCATGCAAAAAGAATCAATCAGTTATCTCTAACCGATATTTTTTATGATGTATAGAGTAGGGAAAGGTGGCCATTCTCAGGGACGGTCCCCTTAAAAAGTTATGAACAGATTTTTATGAAATGTTAACCATAGTGTCGTGGCCGAGTTTAGATGCCATTAAATTTAGTGGTGATCAGGGTCATGATCCGGATTCAAGAATTTTTAAAATGACTCATGAGCATTGTGAGATAGGGAAACACGGGGGTCACCTGTGTACTTGAGAGAGGTGATTTTAATGTAATTCTTCAAATGTGAATATTTTTATTGCATCAGTGACCCTATTGCTTTGGAAGAGGTTTGTGTTCCCTGAGTCCTTTTAGTTATTTTTATTATTTAATGAAGTGACTAATACTACTTTTTTAAAAATTATTACCATCAGGAAGCAGAGGAGATGCATTTGAAGGCCATCTCCATCAAGGAACAGCTTTTGGGGCCAGAGGACTATGAGGTGGCCCTATCTGTAGGCCATCTGGCATCCCTGTACAATTATGACATGATGAAGTATGATAAGGCTGAGCAACTCTACTTAAGATCCATTTCCATTGGTAAGGGTGAAAGTGTGAAGGAAAAAGTCAAGATTGTCTTCTTCCAAAAGTACTTTCTCTGTCTTTGGCTGTGCCATTTGAGTACCAATATGTAAAAAGTTTTCATGAAATATTAAAACTAAACCATAATAGCCAACTAACTGTCCATTTCATCATTCCAGGAAAGAAATTGTTTGGTGAAGCATATTCTGGCCTAGAGTATGACTATCGAGGGCTCTTGCGTGTATATAGTGTTCAAGCTAATATGGAAAAGTGTTTCAAATACCAGAATGTTTTGGCATATTGGAAGTTATTGCGTGATGAAGCACAGGAAACACAGACCTCTCCCTTCAAAGAACTCACAGAACCTTTACGGGTCATTGACACTCTGAACCAGTTCATGGCCCTGTAGGAATATATCTACTGGACCTAAGTATTAAGTGCATCAGTGCAAGACTGCAGCTGATAATGTTAGAAATCAAAATGGTTTGCATACAAGACCATAAGTTTTGCTATGACCTCACACCTTAGATAATAAACAGAAATGCATATTGACCATGAAGTGTGCAGTTGGCCCTCTCTCCATTAAGTCTGTTCACCCCTTCTTAGGTGCTGATCTTTCATAACCATCTGCCATTTTATAGTTCTTGTGTGAATTTGAAGTTTATTGTCACACATCATGCATAAGGATTTTTCAGCCAGATATGATGATAGCCATGACATTAAGTTAAAGCACAATCACATACAGTTTTCTCTGTCAGTGATTTAGGAGAATATTTGGAAGGAGGAGAATCTCTCATGCAATAAAGATCACTTGTAAAGTTGTTAATGATATTAAGGATCAAATATCAGACAGAACACAAATAGAAAGAATGTAAAGTCTGCATTAGAAGGTGAATATTTATATGTTGTTAATCTAAATGAACATACATGATTTGTTAAAGAATGATTGTTGTAAGCAATAAAAACATTAATAAGGAGGGAGAGTGTAGCTGTAAATCTTTGTCTCAATTACTGTTATGTGTCAGTGTATGGAGCTAACTGATTTTAATAGATGACATGGGATAGTGCAGGATTACTGAAAAGTGTTGAGTAAAAACTTGCTGCTGGTACAAGTTTACAATAGTTTGCAAAAATTGAATGATTATTAAAGTTTTTTCTACTACTACCATTTATCCTCAAGGGAAGAGAGATATACTGTATGAGAGTGAGCAGTATATTGCTAATTTATGAATTTTATTATGTATAGGTGTGAAAGTTGCTTGATAAAGCCAGCATTTTGTGAATTAGTAAACCATGTTGTTTGTATCATAATAATTTTTGATTTGTATGATTTGAAATTTAATATATATAGTTTTAAAGATCATTATTTATATATATTTGATTATGATAGGTATATTTCTTCAGTTCTACATATTGAAACAGAATCCCTGATGTTCACTCATGAATCAGTTTTAACATTTCCAAGTTGACATGTGGTGTCTTTTTATCAGATCTCTATTTAATAGATAGAACTTGAATATTTGATATCTTACACTATTTGGAAATTGAAAACATCAAATAATACGTGAGTAGTATGGTTTTAAGATTTGCATTGATACAAGAGGGCTTGTTACAATTCCTAGGTGTGAATCTACCTTCAGGAGAGGTCGCCTGTAAATATGTGTATAGTTCATACTGCTGCTTATGGCCCCTCCATTTTTGTATGTGATAAAAGATGAATTTATGCGAATCAGGGCATCGTCTCAAAATGGAAAGCAGTTTGAAGGGAAATTTGTTGTACAAGATTGCAGATGTACCATGTGGTTTGTATACGGTGGATCTAGTTATGGTATGGATGTATTTTGCTTTTTGAAGATGCATATTGCAAGGATTGTACTAAGGTAATTTATGGGAATCCAGAAACTTTTTAGTGTTTTTTGGTGACATTTACATCAGAGTTATTTATCTTTCATATTATTAATGTTAAGGATCATCACAAATTGTTTGTAAGCAAATTTATTTTTTCTTTTACATCCATGTTTAAGATGGATGAAAAACTTGCAAGCTTTACGTGTGTGATATGCTTTTATCAAGGACTGATTGTATTCACTTTATTGGGGTACCTTTTTCTGATGGCTAGATTAATACAGGTAATGAAGCACCAGTGTTTCATTGCCTTTTTCAATTACCATCATATGACAGTGCCAGGATTTTTTTTTTCTTTTCTTTTCTTTTCTTTCATTAGCTGTCATGACATGGAGAATGTGGAAATGTTTCTTCAGTGTCATTTCTTTTGTAATGAAACTGGAGGGTTGTTTTTTGTACTCAGGTGATTCGGGGTGATCTCAATGATAACTAGATTTGTGGAGCTGTTAGTGGAACAATAGTTAATAATAATTATTGATTTTCAGTAAAAGCAGTCAGAATCGTTGACATCATTCTCTTGGGATAACAACAATGAATTTCAGTAAACCAAATATGAAGTTTTGGACCTAAAGCAGATTTTAGATTTAATTTATTCAAGATTTACTCTATAAATACCCTTTTCTCTATTAATCCAATGAAATACATCTCAACTTGAAAATTACCGGTATTTATTGTTATTATCTTAAAAATTTATGTGTATATATATTTTGGTTATGCCATTGTGGCCAATTTTTCATTATGGTACTTGCTCATTTGAAGGCAGCAGCTTTTTGATCTGTGTAATATCAGATGCTATATCACAACAGATGGTGTGCTAAGCAGAGGTCTTATTTTAATTTTGAAATTTTAAACTTCTCTCAGATATGTTCTCTTGTTCATATAGTTTGTTTGATACTTTTTTTTCTAATTAAACATAATGAAGATTTTAATGCTTAGAAAAAGGGTGTGAGTATAAGAACAGATCTGTAGGTAGAAAATAATTGTATAGTGGTAAGGCCAATGGGAAAGTGAAAGGAAGTGTACATGCATTTTGGTGACAGAACATAGGGGAATACTATCACTTACAGTTCTGTGCATAAATATCAGTTAAGGCTCTTATGAAGTAGCATAAGAACTCCCATCAGTAGACTGCATAAAAGGAAAAACAATTACTACCCAACATTTTCAACTTCTATCTTTGTAGCCATTTCTGTGCACCATTGTTTTGCCGTAGATATATATGCACATATTAACTGTTGAGTGAGACCCCCAGTCAGTAGCACATGCTAGTGGTCAATGGTAATACCCAGCTGGGTGTATAAGGCAGAGTGTATCATTGGAATACGCTTTTACTCACATACAGATTTATGAGATTGTAAACTAAAGAGTGTATGCAACAGTAATAAAAGAAGTTTATCTTGATATTCTTTTTAATTGTACAAAGGAAAATTCCAGTTTCAAATTCATATTAAACTAATACTGAGTGACATTGTATGTGTCTGGCATTTTCTAGAAGATATTTTGAAATATAATTCTCTTATGTAAATTGGGAAATTAATCCTAGTGCATGGACAATTTCAAAATTTGATTTTTATCGAATCGTTCCCTCAAGAATATAAATTAAAAATTATTTAAAATATAATTGTAGTTCTTAATGCTGCATTTACTTTAAGATACAGTTGAGAGCTTGAGTACCTGCAGTCAGTGCAATTCTACCCCTACCACCTGATTGTAGTCCTTGCGGTGCTTTTGCTCATGTCCAAAAGCATGAGTAGTATGCAATAAAAATGCAGTTGATTTAATAGTGTTGACTGGACCCTCATTTTTACTTTGTTTGTCATTAAAGGTATTCTTTATATGCATCAGAAATTGATTTTAATTGATGACTGTATGCATCTAAATATCATAATTCATTGTAGTTGGAAAACAAAATATGAACACATTATTTTATTGAGAGTGAGTGAGTGATAGAAAAAGAAAATGTATGAAAAGGGGAGGGAGGGAGAGAGAATGGAGGGGTATTATTATTTTATTTCGCCTGAAGGTGACAAGCCTGGTTACAATCACAGCAAAAATAATTACAAAGCATGTGTGTCTCGTATGGCACATTAAGGGCACGCACATGTACCAATAAAATTACAAAAATATATAGCCATATAATTAGCATACACGAAAGTGTGGATGGAGAGTGAGAATTAAATCCTCTTTAAGCAAATGGGTGCAGATTTGAAGCAGTCTTCTCGGTAGCAAGAATATCATTGTGGAGCACAGAAGGCAACAATGGTCACATCTGCCTCGGAGACATACCGCGGCCGGTAGCCCAACCGTAGCCTAGCTCTCACAACTTTGTGTCCATGACGACGATATTTGTAACGAGAAAGAAGAAAGTGGTCATGGGGCTGTATGGAAACACTGCTAGCCTGTTCTATACTGCCATGGTATGAGGCGCAAGACCTGTACTTATATACAAAGTCTATATAACTACTTATATAGACCTTGGCTGTGGTTGTCTATGTGTGCGTCTATACACAAACACACGCGCATACACACGCGCGCACACACGCGCACACACACGAGCGCACACACGAGCGCACACACACACACGCGCACACACACACACGCGCGCACACACGCGCGCGCACAAACGCGCACACACACGCGCGCACAAACACGCGCAAAGACACACACACACGCACGCACACGCACACACACACACACACACACACACACACACACACACACACACACACACACACACACACACACACACACACACACACACAACACAACACACACACACACACACACACACACACAAACACACACACACAACACGCACACACACACGTACACAAACACACACACATATATCTGAATATGTATGTAATTTATTATATATACATATGACACACTACTCACACACACACACACACACACACCACACACACACACACACACACATATACATATATATCTGTATATGTATATATTAATTTATATATACACAAACATATACTATAAATATATATACATTATATATATATATTATATATATATATATATATATATATATATATATATATATGTGTGGTGTTGTGTGTGTGTGTGTGTGTGTTTGGTCTTGTGTTGTTGTTGTGTTTATATATATATATATATATATA